TTCAATATTAAATTGACAAACTAAGCATTGTCTATAAGACATTTTAGCAATTTTAGAGCAGTCACTTATTAATATTATTGTAAAAATAATTAATATATGTTTATTTTAATCTGGATCATTTTATCTATTTTTATGAGTCATGGAGCATAGGGGGTTTAAATAATGAGGACTCAGGAAGAATTAGGTGGCCATCTATAAGCTCTCCATGAGTCTATGTTTAACACTGAATTTATATTTTTTACATTAATTTTACCTCTTTTTATTTTTTTATGAAATTTTTAAAAGACAGAACACTTTAAGATTATAATCATTTGAAAAAAAGGCTTTTGGGGCTGGTAGGTGGCATGGTGGTTGGGGGACTGGATTCTCAGATGGCCGACTGCAATATATATTTATTTATTTTTTTTGGAGAGGTTTTTTGCTATAGGGCACATGTGCTCGCCAGAAGGACAAAAAGTGAGAAATCACCCCCCACCAGGGGGATGGCCACGCCACAATCCCTTCTCGTCCATTCTCCTCTTAGGATTTTTGGCACACACACACACATGTGCCTGGCATGAGTCTAAGCCATCGGGTCTGGGACTTAAACCTCGGTTGACTACATGGGAGTCCAGCGACACAGCCATTATGCCAACTTCTGGTCCCAGATAAAATAATTTTCTTTTTTTTCTTTTGAGAGCTTTTTGCTATAGGGCGCGAGTACTCACCACAAAGACAGAGAAAGACAGAGAGACAGAAAGCGAGAAATCACCCCCCCAGAGGGGTTGACCACGTTGCAATCCCTTCTTCTCCATTCTCCTCTCGGGATCTTGGGCACGTACACACACATGCCTGGCGTGAGTTTAAGCCACCAGGTCCGGGACTCGAACTGTGGTTGACTACATAGCCATTACACTAACTGCTGGTCCCAGATAAAATAATTCTTAAAAAAAGAAAAAAAAGCTTTTGGGGTAGACAGGTGGCGTGGTGGCTAAGGGCACTGGACTCCCACATGGCCGACTACTCCCACATGGCCGACTGGTTTGAGTCCCAGACCTGGTGGCTTGCTTTCTCACTTTTCATCTCTCACTCTCTCTGTCTCTCTGGTCAAATTAAAATAAATAAATAAAGTTAAATAAAATAATTCTTAAAAAAAAAAAAAGAAAGCTTTTTAGAAAAGCATCAAACAAAACAATTAACCATGGACATTAAGACTTGAACTAACTCGGGAACCAGCAGTTAGCGTAATGGCTATGTTGCTGGACTCCCACGTAGTCGACTGCGGTTTGCCTCCTGGCCCCAATAGCTTAGAAATCACGCCAGGCACGTGTGCGTGCGTGCCCAAGATCCCGAGAGGAGAATGGAGGAGAAGGGATTGTGGCGTGACCATCCCCCCTGGGGGCTGATTTCTCACTTTCTGTCTCTCTATCTCTCTCTGTCTGTCTGGCAAGCGCACGTGCCCTATAGTGAAAACCTCTCCAAAAAAAAAAAAAAAAGACTTGAACTAACTAAAGTTAAAGATTTGACAAGAGTTTACAACTAAAAAAGAAATTTGGCTATATTTATGACATATACTGATTTAGCATAATAACCTATAACATGACTGGTAAATATCACATTATAAATTTTTGAGAATCCCAGTTTATTTTGGAACACAGTGCATGTTTACACACACAAACACATATCCATACAACATATTTATACACATAATTTAAATATAATGTAAAGAAAATTTTAATTACCAATTTGACTATGTTTTTCTTATTATTTAACATATTAAAACAAGTCCGATTGGTTCTAATATCCCTCTTTCAGATGTTTCAGAGGTCCTCTGTAAGCATCCAAAAGTTACTCTGAGGTAAAAGAATTTTAAATTTTAGAGAAACCTTGTCAAATACAGTAAAAAGTTTAAATACTTAACAGTCAGCAGAAAATGAAAGTTAAATGTTTTCCAAGTTTCTTAGGGATGAAAAAGGGCTAACTTACTATCTAACTTACCATGTATCTTATAGAACACATGGTAGACTATAGCAGCCAGATATGACGTTCAGCAATAACAACAAAACAACCCAACATATGGATCACATATAAAATTTTTTTCAAAAGATTTAGTTTTTATCACTTTTAGTCATTAGTCTTGTAACTGTATCATAAGAGAAAAAAAATTGAACCTTAGGAAAATTAGTCTTACCTAACAGCACTCAAAAAAATTTAAAAATTATTATGTCTTGATTATTTATAAGAAACAAAATATTAGAGAAGGCCAGTCATTAATCTATTTTTTTGTTGTTGGTCAGATATCTACTATGTAACATTTACCATATAAATACCAACTATTTTATTAAACTAACTATCTTAAGACAAATATGATGTTATCTGTTTAATAAATTTTTGGACAAAGTATATGTTGGAAACTACAAAGACTTTTACTTTAATAATATTTTAAAAAGAATTATTTATTGGGACCAGCAGTTAGTGTAATGGCTATGTCGCTGGACTCCCACGTAGTCGACTGCGGTTCGAGTCCTGGACCTGGTGGCTTAAACTTAACGCCAGGCGTGTGTGCGTGCGTGCCCTAGATCCCAAGAGGAGAATGGAGGACAAGGGATTGCGGCGTGGCCATCCCCCCCGGGGGGTGATTTCTCGCTTTCTATCTCTCTGTCTTTCTCTGTTTGTCTGGCAAGTGCACGCGCCCTATAGCAAAAACCTCTACAAAAAAAAAGGAATTATTTATTTAATGCTTATTGATTCATTCATTTATTTTAAATTTGACCAGAGAGAGACACAGAGAGAGAGAGAGGAAGTGAGAAAGCAAGCCACCAGGTCCAGGACTCAAACCATAGTCTACCATGTTGGAGTGCCCAGCACCTTAACCACCATGCTACCTGCTGGTTCCCTACTTTATTATTTTTTACCATATTTTAAGCCAGTTTATTTGTCAAAGATTTTAAGCCATGTGAACTTAAAAAACATTTAAATTAATGTGTATGAGCACTTTTTCTATAAATTGAATAGAATTTTAAAATACATAGACATAAAACATGCTATGTAACATGTATGTGTGCACACACACACAGAGACAAAAGATCTGATAGTTTTTTTAAAAGTTTTTTATGCTTCTCCACCCACCAAATGAGAATATTTTATATTTTAACCCTGCTGATACCTGTATCAAACTGAGGATTTAAGAGTTGTCTTGATTAGCCCTACTCTGGTTTTTTTAGCTTTGCCAGTCATTGTTTATCTTTACATCTTCTGCAAAGAACGGAAACTGGTCATTTTTTTTTCTACCTGACCAGAATGGAAATCCCTTAATGCTGTGGCTGATTTTTTTTTTAATGTAATTAGATCCCTTCGGAGTTTGTCAAAATAATAACTTGCTTTTACTTCTGTATGTACACTTAATAATAAATATTTTAGCATTATTTTTAATTGTTAATTTTGTCATTAATTGTTTTAATTCTAAATATCTAATTAATAGGTAACCTACCTTGTAGATTAAACAAGGTAGAAAGTTTATATATATATATATTTTTTTTGAGAGGTTTTTGCTATAGGGCACATGCGCTCGCCAGACAGAGAGAGATAGAGAGACAGAAAGCGAGAAATCACTCCCCGGGGGGATGGCCACACCGCAATCCCTTCTCTTCCATTCTCCTCTCCGGATCTTGGGCATGGCCGCCCACATCGCCAGCGTGAGTTTTAAGCCACCGGGTCTGGGACAAGAACCGCAGTCAACTACGTGGGAGTCCAGCGACATAGCCATTACGCTAACTGCTGGTTCCCAAAGAAAGCATTTTTAATGTTTGTAATTCAAGGTGGATATTGTTCGGATAATGCCGAACAAGAAGCAACACAGTTTGACCTGTAGGTGTATTTTAAACCATTTTAATTAGTCTTTTTATTTAGCTTTTTGTATTTTTTATTATTATTATTTTTATTTTTTGCTCTGGGCAGGCTGGTAACAAAGCAAAATCTTTGGTAGAACTTTTTTATGTCACTTAAGCTTATCATTTATCTTATATAGTCTTAAAAGTGATAAAATTAAATTAAATCTTTTAGAATCTTTTGCAATATTAATGGACATCCCTGGAAGAACCTAAATTGGGAGCCCTCAATTATAATTATGCTTTTTAAAGAGTTTTATTGATGTCCTGCTGTGTTCTGGGATCAAGGCAATTGAATCTCTGCTCTAAACCCTATCTTCTAGACCCCAAAAAAGCTAAGCCAGCCTCCACACCCTGAGTGTTTAGACAGTCCTAGGTGTACAATAGCCAAGCATCTGAATACTTTATGGCACCAGGTCTGGGGCTCTAACCACAGTTGACTACATGGGAGTCCAGTGACATAGCCATTACACCTTCCTTCAATAGCACAGCCATAGTCCCTTCCTTCTGTGTTTTAGCACTCTTCATACCTTTTCCTTTATTTAGGTCTTGATTTTGATTGATTCAAGGATCTTTCTATCTATTAAACAAAATCTTTCAAGGAGTGGATTAAAAATTAAAAAGACAGGGCCAGCAGATGGCGTGGAGGTTAAGGTGCTGGATCCCACATGGTTGATTCCATAGTTTGAGTCTTGAACCCAGTGGCTTAAAAATCACACTGGGGGGAATGTGTACATGCATGCCCCAAATCCTGAGAAGAGACCAGAGGAGAAGGGACTGTGGTTGGCCATCCCCCTGGGGACGATCTCTTACCTTCCCTCTTTCTCATCCTGGCAAGCTCATTTATTGTATAGCTAAAACCAAAAAAGGAAAAAAGAAACAAAGAAATGAGTAAGATATCATTTCTTCTGTGTATTCCTTTTGTCAGTTTTACACTAGAAGTATGTGGAGAAGTGAAACCTTATTAAATAAAGTAATCTAAAAACTTGACCACTAATTGCTTTCTCCTTAGATTCTTTCCCATTATTGCTCATTTATGGGATCAATACAAAAACAATATATTTCAAACAAACTTTTTGTAGTGACACTGTATCATACTATTATGTAAGCAATTTGTTTAAATAAAAGGGTTACAAAGTATTTTCGGTATCAATGAAGATAATCTTTCCTCCTGGATAGCCACCTGCTCCTGGAAGTTGAGCTGTCACTAAGAAGCAATTAAAAAACTAGTATAAATAGAATGAACTTTGTACAAATGAATGTATAAATAAACATAAGATTTGTGTTGGTTGCTATTCTTCAGTAAATTCAGCAAAGATTAACAATACTTCAGTTTCTAAACAGCATGCTATATGTTCACATTACTAACCAATGGTGAAATTATAAGTACTCTGGCAGCACAAAGAATTTCAATATCTTTCATAATGGGAGACATTAATGAAAATTAGCTCTCCAAAAGAATGCAAATAGAATTTATTTATTTAGAGAGATTTTTGCTATAGAGTGTGTGTGCTCGCCAGAGAGACAGAGAAAGACAGAGAGACAGAAAGCGAGAAATCACCCCCCAGGGGGGATGGCCACACCGCAATCCCTTTTCCTCCATTTTCCTCTGGGAATCTTGGGCACACAAGCACACGCGCCCGGCGAATTTAAGCCACTGAGTCCGGGACTTGAACCGCAGTCGACTACATAGGAGTCCAGCGACATAGCCATTACACTAACTGATGGTCCCTCCTCCATTTTTCTCCTGGGATTTTGGGCACATAAACACACACACCTGGCACAAGTTTTAAGCTGCTGGGTTTGGAACTTGAACTACAGTCAACCATGTGGGAGTCCAGCAACATAACCACTATGTCATCTGCTGGTCCCATAAGTAGAATTTAAATATTACTAATTTTCTTCCTATAAGAAATAATCTCAAATATAATTTATGCTAATATAATTCATTTTGATTACCTTTCTTTTTTTATTCTTAATTTTATAAAGGAAATGTGTGTTTGCTGGAGAGAGGAAGAGGGAAAGTGAGAAAGCATCCCCTTGGGAGATGGTCACGCCTCAGTTCCTTCTCCTCTATGCTCCTTTCCAGATTTTGAGCATGCATGCACAAGTGCCTGGTGTTTTTCAAGCCGCTGGGTCTGGCGTGTGTGTAACCATGGGCAGTTTACTTATCCTCTTAAAGCAGTTTACTTATCCTCTTAGTCTCTCTTGTAAGTTTGTTCAGATGGCACATTAAGTAGTAGGTACATAGTAGATGTGTCGTAAGTGATGCTATGATTATTATTGTATTATTGTTGTTGCTAGGTATTCTTACCACAGAGGGTATGAGAAAGTTGAGTTTTCCCAGTACGAAATTCTGTTAAATAAAGAAAAATTGGTTGAAAAACAGAACTACACAGAATTTTTGTATATTTTCATTAAGAATAAAACATGGTCTCAGAATATTGTTTTCTCTTCCAACAGTCAAATGTCAGTCAAAAAGTACCTCCTGGTCACAAATGGGTTCTGCACATATAAATACCAATAGAAAAAAAAAAAACACAACTTTTTTACAGAACTGTCCTTTTGATAAAAATTATTTTATACCAAATTTTCCTTAGTAATAGTCATACAATAATTTTCTCCACAGGAAAAAAAGCTTGGGCCTCCTTTACTAAACTGAGATCCTCGAGGGGGAGCTGAAGTAGTCTCTCTAATAGGTGGTACCTCCTGGTTATGAGCAGAAGCAAGTTCTCTCTGGAGAAAAAGTCTACTCACAAATTTAGGTCCATTGAATTCTCATAGATTACAATCAAGTAATAAGTTCATAAATATCAATAAATACACAAGAAGATAAGCCACTAAGACAGAGTAAATAGAAGTACTGGAAACCAGATTAATTCTCCAAGTCAGCAACAACAACAAAACACAAGTTTAGTTCCCCCCAAGGACCACAAATACTAAAATTGTTAGGTGTAGTATATAATATAGCCATACATGAATTTAAAAAGAATAGAAACTATAACTAGTTAAGAGAGAATCTAATCTCTATGTTCATGAACATGTATTACACAGAAATAAGATGTGCTCATTATTCAATTGCCTTTTCAAGGAATGAGGAAAAATTCTAATCTCTTCCGTAGGAATCAGAAATAAAAGGATGAAAAAGGCCAATAAGCCATATCTGTTAACATTGATAATATATTTTCATTGTAATCCAGAATGACCCTGTATTATAATTGAGATTTAATAATAAGTTCCAGAACAGATACAATTTACTATTGGTTGTTAATATTAAGGCTCTGCCTACCTCCAAAAGCTTCTGTGATTGCCATGCTTTCGATTCCACCTCCTAGCAACTTACTATAAATAAAAGGGAAAGAAAAAACAGGAAGAAAAACAGATGTCAAGAAAGGAGAAAGTATTTGTAACATTAGTACCACATCTACCTATGTAACCTAGCCTCCACCTACTTACCTATAAAACATGAACCAGAATTCTTGTCTGAACAAATAGCACTCCACCTGTTCAGACCATAAGTTCTACTAGGTATGGACAGGTGGATCAACAAAACAATTAATAAGCCCTGCTGTTCTTATTTCTGGGTATCAATAGTAAAAATGTTAGTAAGGCCTTATGTCTCACTACTCTTTATAATTTAATTGGAATTAGAATAAATGCTTTAGTTATTAATTGGGTTTTTCATATTGTACTGGGACTATTTATAAAAATCAAATTGAATATTTGCTTTTTTAAAATATACTGAGAAATATGAGAATCCAGTGATTGTCACCATGGTTGGTATCTTACATAAATCAAATTTTATGGAGAACATGTCAGAATAGAAAATGTTCCAAGATATTAGCGTTAGAAAAATAACTGTCAGATTTTGACAGCATATATTTAATTGGTTACCCAGTGTTTTAGAGCATTTAATATTCATGATACTAAATTTAAGTCATGATCTCATTCATTCATTCACTAAAAGCAACAAATATTAATTGTAACTGTGCTAAAACCTGGTAGGAACACTTACAAACATTTTTACTATTAGCATGTCATTTCGGATGTGACTACAGATCAGACAAAGTCTTAAGAGATATTGGATAATCCAACAAATTTACATTCACATATGTTAGAAAGCAATTTAAATGTAAATTGAAGCAAATTTGAAGTTATCCTAAAACTGAGTCAAGGCTGCAGACTTCAATAAGAAAAAGAAAAATCTAGGAACCAGTAGATGGCATAATGGTTACGTTGCTGGACTCCAATGTAGTTGACTGCAGTTTGTGTACCAGACCCGGAGGCTTGAAACTCATGCTGAGTGTGTGTGCATGCGTGCCCAAAATCCTGAGAGGAGAGTGGAGGAAAAGGTATTGTAGCATGGCCATCCCCCTTAGGTAGTGATTTCTCACTTACTGTCTCTCCGTCTCTATCTCTCTGGTGAGCACACATACCCTATAGCAAAAACCTCTTTCAAAAAAGAAAGAAAGAAAGAAAGAAAGAAAGAAAGAAAGAGAAAAATCTAGATACTGACCTGCACAATTTAAATCCAGAGGATATGGGTAAAGAGATTACCCCATTTGGAGGTCACACAATTGGAGATCCTATAGGCCTAACAACTATTAAAGAAAATTTTACCGTCTCTTACTGTGTTGAAAAAAATCACCCTTACTAGCTATAGCTCTGAAAATCTCAGACAAAATTTTTGGTTGATACACAGTCTCAATCAGCTGAAACGATAACACCAAAATTCACCTGGGTGGGTATCCTAAATTATCTGATTTAATATTATTGTCCCCAAACTCAGGAAATAGTGCTTTTAAATCTAGGGAGATTTAAATATAGAGACATCTATCAAATCCATGGATTACTATTTTTATATTAAATTGGGCAATAATCTGTATATATTTGGTATTTAAGAACTTTTGTTCTAATCGTTCTTTGCTACCACTCTAACTTATGAACAACTAATTCTGCCTAGTTAAGATAGGGAAGAAAACTTACATTGAGATGATGATTGACTATGTATCAGGAACCATAAGACAGAAATAAACGGGTGTTAAAACTGCTGCAGATGGGGCCAGCCTGTGGCATGGTGGTGAAGGTGAGTGGATCTCACACAGTCAACAGTGTAGAACGAGTGTTAGACCCAGCAGTTTGAGAAATATGCTGGACTTGTTTGCATACATGCTTAAAAATTCCTAAAGGAGGGAGAAATGAAGGAGAAGGGATTGCATGAGACCATTCCCCATGGGGGATTCTTTCTCACTCTCTCTCTCTCTCCCCCTGTGTCTCTGATGAGTGCACATGCTCTCTGGCAAATTAAAAAATAAACAAAACAAAGAGGGGTTAATGAAAAGGAAAAAAAAAAAAAACTGGACCTTTTCTTCTAAAATATACAGTCTAACAACTGATTTCTAAGTAAAACCAAAAGGTGAAATGAGATTTTCTTCATTAATGGAGAAGGAAAAGAAATATAAAATTAAACTGACATTAAAAAAAGAATTCTTTATTTAACTTTTTATTTATCATTATAATTATTATTATTTTAAATTTGACCAGAGAGAGAGAGAGCAAGAAAGCAAGCCACCAGGTCTGGGACTTGAACCATGGTCAGCTATGTGGGATCTCAGCATTCCAACTACCACACCACCTGCTGGCCCCTAAACTGACTTTTAAAAGTGATGTGTAGATTAACACAGGATGATTCAAAGACTACTTATATTTTGGGTCTGAATTTCTTATAAGAAGTTTAATTCTGTTCCTATAAGCAGTCTGAAATTGCTTCAGCTGATGTTTTAAAAAATAGCAACAACAATAAAAACAAAACAAAACTACTTCAAAAGAAGATATTAAACCAGATAGAGGAAAACAAACATGCTATTCCAAAGATGGTGCTTAGTGGTTATAAAAATGTGAAATACACACTCGAATTCCTGACTCCCAGTGGTGATATGGAAAACCATCTTCCTCTTTTCACTATATTCAAATGCAGTCAGGAATCCTGGTTCCTACAGAAAGATAAAAGGAAAAGTTCAGAAAAGGTACATGATTTTATTTTTAAGAATTATTTTATTAAACTTTATTTATTTATTCATTTTTAATTTTGACCAGAGGGACAGAGTGAGAGAGAGAGAGAGAGGTAGAGTGAGAAGGTAAGTCGCCAGGTCCAAGACTTGAACCATGGTTAGCCACGTGGGAGTCCAGTGCTCTTAACCAGGACACCACCTGCAGGTCCCTATATGGTGATGGTTTTAATTTCAAATACTACCCCAAACTATATCCTTCATTATGAAGTACATTTTGTATAAGCTACAGTTCATTCATCTTTGAAGGCAGTACAAAATCATGGTTAAGGATACAGGCTTTGGGGGCCAGCAGGTGGTGTGGTGATTAAGGCCTTGGACTCTCACATGGTCGACCATGGGTCAAATCCTATACTATGAAGCTTGAAACACACCAGGTGTGTGCATGCCCAAAATCCCAAAAGGAAGGTGGAGAAGGAATTGGAGCATGGCCATCTTCCCTAGGGGATGATTTCTCACTTCCCCTTTCTCTGGTGAGTACATGCACCTTCTGGTGAAAAGAGTCAGGTTTTGGGGCCACCCCGTCTAGGTTCAAAATGTGTCTCTCTAATATTGTTAGTTGCACGATACAAAATAAATCACTAAATTTTGCTGTACTTAGGTTTCTCTTTTGGGTCAAATGGGGATATGTCTATTTCATAGAGTAGCTGTGAAGATTAAATGAAATATATTTATGGAATAAACCAGAATGGTATTTTACTGAACAATTCACTAGATTTCATTTAACAGCATTACTTTTTCCTAAGCTCTAGAAGTTCCAAGGAGTACAGAAATTCCAGTTTTCACTATCTATGGGACAATTGTTTTCTTTCTTTCTTTTCTTTCTTTCTTCCTTCCTTCCTTCCTTCCTTCCTTTCTTTCTTTCTTTCTTTCTTTCTTTCTTGCTACATGGCACGTGTACTCGCCAGAAAGACAGAGAGAGACAGACAGAAAGCAAGAAATCACCCCCAGAGGGGATAGCCATGCTGCAATCCCTTCTCCTCTGTTCTCCTCTTGGGATCTTGGGCATACACGCACATGTGCCCTGCGTGAGTTTAAGCCACCGGGTCTGGGACTCGAACCGTGATTGACTACATGGGAATCCAGTGACATAGCCATTACACCAACTGCTGGTCCCGGGACAATAGTTTTCACATATACTACTTATATACTACTTACTTGCTAAATTAATGAGTTACAGCTGACGCAGTGGCATAATGTATGAAAACAATTCTAATGTTGTCTACTGTATTGCTCTCTTTGTTTTATACTATGACAATGGTTCTCAAATTTGGAGAATTTGGGGTGGGCCAACCCCAGGCTCTATTCTACAATCAGCCGGGGCCTCTTTGTTTTCTATTAGCCACTCTAGGTGTTTTATTCTTTTCTTTTTTGGCTAGAGGATGTGTGTGCTTGCCCAAGAGAGACAGAAAGATGAAGAAAAAGTGAGAGAGCACCTCCTCCACACCCATCCCGCCGCCATGGGGGACAGTCAGACTGTAATCCCTTCTCCTCTATTTCTCCTTTTGGGATTTTGGGCATGTACCCACCATGTTTTTCAAGTTGCTGGGTCCAGGACTCAAAACGTGTAGTTGGCTATGTGAGATCCAGCCACCTTAATCACCACACCACTGACTGGCCCAGCCACTGTATGTGATTCTGATACACATTAATGTTTAGAATCGCTGTACTATGTTTACTATGAAATCAACTTCTTTTCTTTCTCTTTCTTTTTTTTTTAAAGAATTATTTAATTTTATTTATTCATTCATTTTATTTATTTATTTATTTTAATTTGATCAGAAAGACACAGAGGAAGAGAGTGAAAGAGGGAAAGTGAGAAAGCAAGCCACCAGGTCTGAGACTCGAACCGTGGTTGGCCATGTGGGAATCCAGCGCCCTTATCCACCATGCCACTTGCCGGCCCCCTTTTCTTTCTCTTTCAATCTGTTTCTCTATTCTGTAATAAAGCACTAAGAAAGAATACGATTTTGGGTACAATAGCGGGTGCTTGAGAAGGCGAGATGTTCTCTTCTTTAATAATGAGATCTAGTTTCCAAAGCAAAGGAGACTGTCTGGGCATGGTAGTGCATGGGAGCCTGAGGCAGGAAGATCATGACAGTGAGACCCTGTCTAAAACAGCACACACACATGCACGTATACACTACACACATGTACACACACACACACACACACAGAGACTAATGTCTAGGAGCTATAAAGCAGCAATTTCCAGACCTTGGGTACTGCTCCAGGGCTTCCTTAGACATCCTGGCAATATGAAAATGACTTGTAACTCTATTGATTGAGTATACTCAGAAGGTAGACCATCTGAGCTTGGTTCAGAGTAGTTCAATTGGATCCTCTCCAAGTTTAGGATCACACTGCCACTTGCATCACTGTCTTGACTATCTCCAAAGAGGGAAACTGAATGGCTATCAGTAAAGGGCATCTTGGATTTGCAGAGCATAAGATGCTAATATACAATGGAGAAATGCTTTGCTTTTCTGCAAAGAGGGAGATTTGGTGATGCTCTTTCTACACATTCTTGGTTTCAGAACTGGCATCTCTAGCGTTGTAAAGTGCTACCGAATGAACAACCACCAAAGCCAGATTAAGTTTAAAGGGAGTAAACTTTATTAGCTGGCCAGTGACTACAGCCTTAGGCTTGGGGCAAGAGTCAGAACTGTAGCCTCTACCAAAGTTGGAGCAGTCATTTTATAGGGAGTCAGTTACAAGGGGTTTCTATGCAAGCAGTTACAGAAGCTGAATCAAGCAGATTAATTATTTCTGAGAGGAGTGAAGTTTCTATGCAAGCAGTTACATTGTTGAACAAAAGGGTTTCCAGCTAGTTAGCAAAGACAGTAGCAGGTATAGGATGTCCCCCAGATGGGGTTTTCTGTATGGCTAACAACAATTATTTT